CCCCAAAACCCCAAAACCCCAAAACCCCAAAACCCCAAGCCAAATAAATTTAATTGAATTATTTATATTAGTACTTTATTTAAATGGAACAACAAGGTAATTAATCACATGGCTTTGAGCGAAATTTATTTGTAATTTAGTGTATGGTGTCAGTCCTAGTATCCCTCAGCCGGATGAAGCAACCTCAGAAAGGAATGTAGCAGGGTATCAGAAGAAGAATAGGAAAAGATTCAGTAAAAGTGGAGTAAAGAGACCTAAAAGTAACCGATCCAGCTCAAAATAATTCCAAAGGTATGCTAGAGTTAGGAGCAGTTTTGATTTTTGATAGGCCAGCCAAGGGTTCAGACTGCTCATCATTTCAAAGCAGAAAGGAACTCAAATGTGAATGAGGAGTATGTATATAACCAAACCCCAGAGAAAAGTTCAGACTATCTTTCAAAAGTTCAAACTTTGATTAAGTAAATTTTCAAATTACTCCATCTAGAAATTATGGAGGAGGTGATGCATTAGCTAAATCTGCTACAATGTTGAAAATTCCAAAGAAGTACCATAAATTCCTAACCGATCTAGAGCCTTATTCAACAACAACACGAGAATGACTATAGATACTAGAACGAATGAAGTTAAGAGGATCAAGCCGAAAAGATCCAAACTTGATAAAGAGAAGCTCTATGATCAAGTCATAGACTACAAAAACCAAATGAATGAGTTCAGAGAAGAAAATATCAAACTCAAGACTCAACTCAAACAGCTTGAGAAAGAGCAGCTAAACAACGAAGCTCTAGCTGAGGAGATTAAGCAGGGCCAGCAACTTGTTGGCAGAATGGGAAAGAGCATGACCAGACAAAGAGGTATCCTTAACCTGTATTTATTCTAGAATCATTCCTTGCCCTTGCTCTTAAGAAGCAAGTTGCTGAGCAGAGGAACATTATCAGACAGAAAAACTCAGAAATTGATGAACTCAAGAAAGCTTATAAGCACACTAGGATAAATGAACTAGAAACTGACCAAAAGGTCTATATAGAGGAACTTATGAGGATGCGCAACATTCTTGAACAAGTCTTAAAGACCAAAGATCCACTGATGAATCCTGAAACAGCAGAGAGAATCGAGAATGATCTCAAGATCAATGAAAATAAATTGAAAAATGTCAGGAAAGAAAACCAGGAACTAGCAGAGATCATTAAGACCAAAGATCAAGAGATCCTTGAGCAAAATGAAAAGTTAAAAGACAAAGAAACTCGCATTGAAAAACTCAGAGTCTCTGTTAAAGAGAGTAAACACTAGCATCTTAATATAGAAAATAAACTGAAGCATCAGCAAAGAGAGAAGAACAAGGAACTCTCAAAGGTCAGGAATGAACTAATCTTGCTTCGTGCCCAGACAGGTGCTAAAGGAAAGCAAGAGATGGATGTTGTCCTAAAGAGCCAAAACGATATGCAGAAAGGTATGCTTTCTCACTCATCCTCAGACCAAATCAATAACAAAAATATTGCTATTAATTCTCTCAAACAGGAAAAGAAGAAATTGGCTAGCAAGGTTACCTCCTTGTCTAAGAAGCTGGATGAGCTGCAGGCTAGTCTTGATGATGCCAACAAGAAACTTAAGAAAGAAGCCAAACAAAAGAAGTATTATGAAGGGCTTTATAAAGAAGAGAGAGAGAAAAATCTTGATTTACAAAGCCAAACTCCTAAAGTATGATTCTCATAAATTTTGTAGAAAGCAGTTCAGGAAAAAGATAGTGTCAAGAACGCAAGGCCAATTAGCGCAAGTATCCATGGAAGAGGGATAGCCAGTAGCCAGAAACTTGAGGAAGTCAAGGAGAATATCTTTGAGGATGCTATTGACAATAATATGGGAGATAAAAGTCAAGATACAGAGAATAAGTCTAAGAAGAACCTCAATTCACCAATCGAATTGAAACATGTGAGGCCCATAGCTTTCTCTTTGAGATTACATATCTCAGATATGGGAATAGATAGCTTGAAGTCTGTATTCTCAGATATTTCTTTCACTCTAAATTCCTTCAAAGACAGAGTTCAGAAATTATTTAAACTTGAGAATGAAGATGGGTTGAAACTTGCAAGGTATATTTTTGAGAAAGATACGGTTCGTCATAATGGCAAAATTGAATTTGAACCAGAGAAATCTCTTTTAGTAGCTACTATCATCAAAGAGCTAGAGATCCTCTGCACTAAGGATATCAAATTTAATGTAAGTCAACCTTACTCCATGTCTAGGCTCCTCTTTACAAAAGAAAAGACACAGAGATTCTTGAGAAATCAATTTATGAGAAGATCAAAAAAAGCAAAAGTTCGATCAGCGAACTCGTAGAAGAGGTAAATTTAATAAAACCTTGTAGGTTATGTCTTCCTTCGCAATTGATGACGAAGACCAGACAGGTTATCTACGTGTTGACAGTGTACAAGATATAATTGACATGCAGGACCTCGACCTTGACGATGAAGAACTCCAATACTTCTGTAGTAAGATGTTTAAGCCAGACAAACAAGGTGTGCATAACCTGTATTACAAAGAGTTCGATATGTGGCTGAAGCATATTTCTTCAAAATTTGAACCTAAGAAAAACCCACCCAGAGCTGTGGATAAAATCCAGCCTCAAAAACAAGAGCCTCATAATCTTGGTAACAATATTTCTGATTCAAGTAAAAAATTTGATGAAAAAGATAAAACTGGGGATTCCTTCAAGAAAATTGATGAATCCAATGTAAAAGATGACACTAATCAATTTGAAGAAAGTAGCAGGAAGGATTTTGCTCTCTCTGAAGATAAGCCTGAAAGTCCCAAGATGAGCCCTTCTAAGCCTGCTGAAGAATCTTTCTATGAGAATAAAGAAGAATCAAAAATCTCTAATCTAGAAGAGTCAAATCCTGAGTTAAACAGTGAAGATAAGAACCCTGAAGAGACACCTAACCCAGTAAACCTTCAAAATGAGAACATAAGTGGAGGTCCAATTGATATCTCTTCCTCCCAAAATATGAAGCCGGCTAAGAAACGAGGTGAGAGTACTGAAAAGAAGTCATCTTCTTCAAAGGCAGCTCCCAAGAGCAGTTCTCATGACTCTAATAATCAAAAGGAATCAGATGATGAAGACCTCTTCCCTGAAAATGAGAGTGAGAAGAATATATTTAGTGAGGATTACCCTAGCTATAAGAAGGATACACCTAAGGTAAGGCTTTAAACATTCACATCTAATTTCTCTATAGACAATGAAGAAAGATGTCAAAGAGTAAGCAATCTTGCTAATTTATAGGGAAGAACCTACTCCATACCAGAACATAGCAAAGAAAGATTCCTCTAGTAAAGCTCTGGATAGCTCTAAAGAGGAAGATGCTTCTAAAAAATCTAAGAAAAAAGTGGATATAGACCAATTCAAACCTCTAGGTCTCAAGATCCTTGCAGACATCGTCACTTATGTGAGTCAGAACCCTAATACAGACCTATTTGGGGAGCATGTATTTGTGCAACCTGTTAAGTCTAAGAATAAACAGACAGATATTTATGTAATAGAGGCAGAGAACTTCTTTGAGAGTCTTGAATTGTTTGGTATTGTCACAATGCCTATAAATCCTGTTCATAAGAAAGAGCTGAAAGAAGCTAAGGATAATATGCAAGAGCTTCTTTGTATAGATCCTAGTTTTAAAGACCTATTGTTGATCAAAAAGATTAACTATGCAGTTAGTCAGCTCTCCAATGACCCGAAGATGCTAGAGAAAGCTAAGTCTTATGGATATACCTCTATCCATGATCCGACTCCAATCAAAAACCAAGCAGATTCAGATTCAGAGAAGGACAACAACTCTTATGAAGATGAGTTCATCGATGATGAAGTCGAGGAGTCGAAGTCAAATTTACAAAAATCAAGCCTGGATAAGTCTCCACAGAAGATTGATGAATCCATCCCTGATGATAATGATTACGGGACCACTTTTGAGGAAGGTAAGCTATTATTTATAATTATTAGCTAAAATCTCAGCTTCACTGCAGAAATCATCTCCTTCCATAAAGAAGAGAGCTGATACAACAGATGATCAGATTTATTCGAATGATTTTGATTCCAAGAATGCTGCTCTAAAAACACCTGATACCTCAAAGGAGAATATCAAGGAATTTAGTGACCTCCAAAAGCAGGAGAGTTCTGACAAGAAGGAGAAGTCTTCCAAGCAGGACTTTTACAAGCAGAATAAAATAGTTGATGACGACTCTGATGAAATTATTGATGATTACCAATTCTAAAATCTGTATTCAATCCTAGCGGTGTCCTATGGGGTTTTGGGGTTTTGGGGTTTTGGGGTTTTGGGG